GATTCCTGCGAGACAATGACCAACACAAAGCAGGGGGGTTCTCTCCGTCTCATACCTTGCTGCATATGAAACTAGCACAGTTGGCCTTACTCATTTCAGTATCTCATTCCCCGCCCCTCCCTCTAGCTCTCTTTCTCAACAATAGGTTAAGATTTACAAGGTTCTTCACAGGTGGCGCCTCTCCAGTACTGTGAGCACATACAGTTGGCCATTCCCATTCCATTATTCATGCAGGTGCCTCCATTCTTGCAGAGATCCTGGTCGCAACTCGGGCACGTGCACGGATCTGCAGAAAAGGAGTCAGGAATCATGGACAAATTAGCTACTCATTCTGCGTTAACTTAGCCAGAATGAGCCCCGAGCTGTACCAAGAGAGGGCACAATTTTCTTGGCAAAGCAGGCTCCTTTGGTGGTCGGAACTGCACGTTGCTGGTGTACAAAACGACTTTAAATGCACGCGTTGCATATTGCTCAGGCCACCTACACAATTAACACTCTCAACCTTTTCAACTCTTCACGCTTTTCAACCGAAGGGGGGGGGAGCTCCTGCTCAAGGTGGACTGAAACAATATTGAACTAAAATCTCCCGTTTGGTTTGTGAAAATCTTACTGTTGTGTTGTTCAAATTTGCTTCAATATTATTCAGAGATCGGTGGCCCACGGTGTTAAAGCTGCTGTTGTTCAAGAGGCTTCGGGAGACTACTCATTTCTAAAGTCCAGATTATTTTGACTGTTTTCGGACTCAAAATTTATGCATGACTACCCCCTCAGCAGAGAGATATGACCGACATTCGAATGCATGTCGGTGTCAGTATTTTCCATGTGCCAATTGGTAACACATATACATTGCCAACTTGTGCACATTCTGCAGAAAATAATTGGAGCATGTTTCCAGCTAGGGCTGAAAGCTATTTCAGTGCACCACACACGCTTGAGCTATGTTCGCACCTAGTCCCCCAGTTGCACGGCTATCCAACAGGCCTACGGACACCACCCTGCTCAGAAGTCAAGATTAGGACACTAACAAAATCCTGGAGAGAATTCCATCTTCATGCATTTGATATCATGTGCACATACCCTATGAGACTGGTTTGAAAAAGCAGTTTTTAAGTAAATGCTTTGTTATTTTCCTTGCTAGTAAATTGACGCTTTAGGTATTGCTTTCTGATAGTAATGTCCGTAGATGTAACTCTCAGTTCCCCAGACTGTATTGGACACCATACTGTGTTTGTGTGCAAATGCTCAACAATGCTGGGCTCTGTGTTTTGTAAAAAAACCCAAAACAAAACAAAACTCAAAAGACATTCAAAAGTGCATTGCTTCCAGATTCCTTCAAATTGATTCATGCCAGTAACTTATATTAGCAACCTGCCATTAACATTAACCATTTCGATACTCAACTGTACTGAGAAAACCGTTTTAATGAGAAAACATCACAACTGTTCAGTTCCTAAGGGCGCCGTTTGTACAGTTAAGTAAGGGTTTTCCTAAAATCATCAAGAGTTGCAAAGATAAATTCAAGCTTAGTAGGCCAATAACTTCATCCATACATTCCATTATGACAAACTCTCACCCGTAAATTCTTAACTATTTTACCAGTTTAGATACGCAATCCAATTTCGGCAGGTGACAGACAAAATTGAAGAATTCCCCACTTTTGAAAAACTGAATTTAAAAGTGCAAGCAATGGACTCACGTCCCGAAAGATTCCTATTGATGTATTCACGTTTCAGGTACATGAATCCCCCATATGCTTACCNATCATCGTCTTTGATACAGACAGTTATGTTTGAAGTGACACTCCCACCCGGGGGCGTGTCAAAATTCACCATGAAGCACTCGGTCGGTTCGGGAACTTGGTCATCTACAATGGTCACATTAAACATCACAACGTCTCCACTTTCAGGAAAACTGAAGTTAAAATCCTTTGCCAGGTAGTCCTCAACAGCGATAGCTGTACCATTTTCGGTGCGTCCTTCAAAATGAAATGTGAACAAATGAAACAGGTGACCGGATTGTTTATCCAATTACATGCCTTTATGTTGAAGGCGACGGGAGATGGGAAGTCCTTTTGACCTTTTTGGACAACCTCTACGATTAAGTCCCTGTGCTTTACCCATAATTACCTTACAAATCACATATCCAGCAAGAAATGAGACCTAGGGGTAACACCCCCCCCCACCATGTCCAATCGCTATACTTAATCGAGACTAATTTTACCAAACACATATCCCCTGGATGTCTGAAAAGAATTCCTGGGATTCCATCGAAACAATGACCAACACAAAGCGACAAGGGAGTTCTCTCTTGGATCGGGAGTGAGAGTCCGTGCCACACTTGTGGCGCTAGGTTCTCTCCATCTCATACCTTGCTTCATATGAAAAATCAAAACCCTTTCCCCGAACAATCCTACTGATGCCTTACATAATGTCTTTGCCCCTATAGGTTGAAGTCCCAAATCTTAATCGATTTCTTATCGTTCTTTTATTACGGAACGGGGCCATGTATATTATTAACAAACATTAAAAGTGTAATCTGGCGACCAGAATTAGAAGCTATTACTGCGGTGGCACAACGCTCGTGGACAGGTGGTACGCGCGCGTTACATGCCTCTTCGACCAATAGGGTGTCGTGATTTGTCAAATGCACGCGTGCAATGAGTGCAGCGCCACCGCAGTTACGGTATCTCCTGTAATTTACATAAACATACCTTGAAGGAATTGTATGGAAGATCCATTGCGCTGGACGGTAAACATCACTGAACCGTCACTCTCTGACACAATGTATGAAGTATTCATGGGAATGATCTCGTCTGAATAATATTTTTGTAAACAAAATGAAATCAAATTATCCAAACAGACGCCTTAACTTTAGAATGCACAGTTTGGGCTTAAACAAATATCTCCCCCCCCCTCCAAGTCGAGTCCAGGGCTTAGAATTTGCTCACTTCGTGAGCATCTTTAGCATTAAGGGGGTATTAGAATTTCCTGAAAAATTCTCTTCAATGTATTAACCTTGGGGATGTGCCGCATGCATGCCTCAAAGCATCGAAATTGGTTTTTACTGGAAGTGCGTTTTAATGAAATGTAGGCTATATTGAAATCGGAAGGTTTTGTCGGACTTGAAAGTGGGAACGGTTTGCATAAATATACTGGTTTACCTGTGAAATATAGTCAGCTTGTTTGTAAATAGTGATCGACTGGTTATTTGCAATAGTACAAATAGGTATGCATTTCCAATCGTGTTAGAATTAAAGTCCCATAGGGACCACGTAGTCCAAAATTTCGGACGCCGATCGCTATCTTGAAATCATGCAATCCAGGAAATCCCTTTTTGAAATATTTTGTCATTACTATAATTGTTTCAAAAAATGTGATTTGTGGGATGCTAGAGACGAGATTGGCACTTGATTTTAAGCACACAATGACCAGCATCTTTTTATTGCACCACTGAACTTTATCGAAAGAATCGTTATCCGGTACCTTGTCTGTTTCATTAAGTTCTCTCCAAAGTCACGCTGACGGCTAGAAAGACTAATACTCACTTTATTCTAATTTAAACAGATTGATGTGTAACAGTACTTCCTAGGCCTCACTCTGAAACCACTTGGCTTGACTTAATCTCAAGCTTTTGTTCAACATGTCGAGAAACAGTCTCCTCAGTGAACAAAACCGAGGCTATATATAGGCCTGTTACTCGGCTGCTGAGGTCGTCGTTTGTACCTCGAAAAAATTGGGGAGATTTTTTTCTGAATAAGTGATGTTTCATTTGTTTGATCCGTCTGAACGTCTGGTGTGCCCCATCCACTGCTTGTGCACACCGAAGATTGCCGAGTAATTTCCCCTCAGGGATGGGGATTTGGTTACCGCTGTTACCTCTGGTTGGGTGGTCATGGTCCAAGGTATTTGGAGGAGACCGAGGAAAAAAAACAGTGTCGCAGTGTCTGTGTCAAAAATCTTTTCTTTGCGCAGGCGTTGTGTTGACCCATTGTCACTGATGCAGAGAAATCTGTCCAATCAGAGTACAACATGACTCGCTGCCACTGCCTGCCGTATCATCGTTGTGAGAATAAAACGTTCAGCGGGAGTTAAGAGGAGATATCTGGAAGGATCGCATTGACACTGGCCTTCAACTTCCCACACTTTCGGGACCAAAATATTACCAACCAAAGTATTCATCGTACACCAAGGCCACCAATCTATCCCTGCCATTTTACACTCTAGGCAAATTGAAACAAGTTCTTGACGTACAGGCGAGCGAAATCAAAGCCGGTTGTCAAAACCATTACCGTGACATTTTGTCTCGGCGCCGAACCACAATTGGATTCACTCTTGAAGCCACTGGACCAGCACGTAAAACCCAGCTGAATTCCCTGCGTCCTTTTATTTTGTGGACCTTTCTAACTGATCTGTGACGACTAATCAAGTTGTCGAGGTTTTGCGAGACTTCTGCGTGTGTACGATGTCCACTGGGCCGAAGATCTGGTGCATGTTGAGATGTATAAACCTCTCACTATTTAGCAGAGGGATTTGCCATGGGATCATTCTCTCTCCGACAAATTTTAACAAAAAGGGAGATGCCGGGACCCAAAGGATTAATATTTCCCAAGAAATTCCATGGAATAGGGGTCTAAAATGCGGTCAAATTAAGCAGCATCGTTAGTGATACAAAAGATGTCGAATGATACTCAGTTTTTCTGCAATAGGCCTATTTTGGTTTTCACTTAGATGGCTCAATACCGCAGGGCACGTATAGTTACATGCACAGGCTTAGCTTAGGTGTATCGACTCGATCCAGGTGCGAAAGGTGCACCACCAAGTGGCGGTGCTTTGATGCCGCAAAATGGCATTGTAGATTAGACGCTTATTGCCCTAACCTTGAATTCATCTGCCATGGACGTGTCGACAGTTAAGACCGATTTCAAAGAATCTTCATATCACAACGAAGCCGTCAAGCTTTTCGCACCCAAACCAATATATTTAAATGACTCTCTCCAATCCGGAAATTCACCTACACACTAAAGCACATCTGAAGCCTTTCTTCAAAGCGTTGACGATTTTTTCACATCAAGGATTTATTCAACTTGTGTGTGAAGCAATTTAGGGGTTGTTGTCATTGACATTATGTTAGTTTCGCTTCTGCCGTTTCGACTCGTTTCTTTGTCTGCTCCTTCCAACCAATCCTTTTTATGGAAAGCTTTAAAAGCAAATGTATGATTGCAAACTTTGAGACAAGTACCAGGTTATCAACATTTTAATAGAGATTCAAAGATCAAAAAGTTCACATATAAATATTTAAATAGTAATTGAAAAAAAGTCCACAAAACCCGTGTTTTCTCACTTTCAAATATTCGTTTGAATACAACTTATGTTCAAGGACGGAAAATAAACCAACGTTTTTGTGATCACGTGTTCAGTAAAGTCTGTATGTAATTGTGATGCAAAAAAAAATCAGGGAGACGGAATTCAAATCAAAATTTAAGAACTGTTTTGCATCAAATTTACAAGGTTCAGCGTTCCCGCAATTTCTATATCTTCCTCTTAACAACATCCTTAAAAAAACTTGACTGAACTTTGCGACCTGAAACTCGGCCTGTCTTAATCGACAGCAGGCTACGAGGTACGTAAAAATAGGCTCTTACTTTCATAATTACATGCAATCTCGTGAGCTCCAAAAATTCACACGACTTAATTTGCAACAGGAAAAATGCATAATGTACCATGATCAAAAAGTAAGATTTGGATTTTGAGAAATTTTTATTCTATCACTGCTTCTTTTTAACCTGAAAGACCTCATGAAGGTTAGTGCGGTCATCGAGGTCCAAGACTGATTGATTATGGATTTTTTAGTCAGGCAAAATTACGCTCGGGCGTTGTTATCACAATCGAAACGAACAGACCCAAATATGACCCTCTGTCAATTTGCATAGCATGGAATAAATTTCCTCTCCCACTGTGTATAGAAGCAAGAAAAAACCGTGTCCAGTCGATGTAATCATTCAGGACTTTTTATGTCCAATACATGCATCATCACCGTCTGTGGGTAAAAGATTTATTTTTTCCCTTTTCAACAGACGAAAATGTTCATAATGACATAATGACTTTTAAAATGTTGACAATGCTTGTTTTGGCAACTTGGTTATTCGTCTCTTTTATAGGCTTTCTACCGTTTTCCACAAAAGAAAAAGAAGCCTGTATACATGTACTGACTTTGAAAATGGAAGCTTACAAGAGGCAAAAAAAGATTACCTGACTTTACGGTGACAAACAAAGCCAAATCCAGGAGGAAAACGCACATTGAGTAAAGTACCTTCAACACTGACGGATCCATCGTCAACATTTGGCGTTGGATGCGTAAGAGGAAATAAGGTTGGATGTCACTGCAGGACGGTCACTTCCCCACTTCTACAATCCGAGCACACAGCGGCCGCTACATGCATGCAAACTTGACGACACCCAAGTTTTCGCCAAGCATATTTGTCGTGACATCAGCTAAAATTTAACAGTCTAACCCCTTTGCTTCCAATTGTTGTTAAGTGTGCCAGCTTGACGTTCAAACGGGAAGAATTATCTTCTTGTGCTACGCCTATAACATTTTTTTTCCAGTAAAATGTCAAAAATTTACATTGTTGCTAAAAAGCTTCTTTTTTAAAATTTTAATTCTGCTGATTTGAATAAACCCAACGATCGAACAGAGGCTGCAGTGTCAAAAAACGTTTCGGGTTAATGGTTTTATTTGACAATCCATCCATCAAAAATCTTTTAACAGACAACGAAATCTTTATTTAATAAATCTGGTCTGCATGATTACAATGGACAAAAAGGGGTTCGTATTTCGATCAACTGGAACCATGTCGCCACTAGAAGCACTCTTTCAGGTCATACTCGAATGCAATTCTATTCTATTTATTTATTTTTTTGGCTCGTGCCATAACAACGTCACCTTTGGGGGTCTTGCTTGCAATGCACCAAACGTTGTTGTTTTGTTTTGTTTTGTTTTAGTGGCGCTTTCAGCAACTCAGGCTATTTGCGCCAATAACTGTACGTTTATTCATACACTTTATTAATCAGCATCACATTACGGAGTTAGGAAGAAGGTCCAGTTTTAGAGGCAGGAGGAAACCAGCTGGAGTATGGACTGGAAACTAAATGCACTTAAAGCCTGGGCCAAGCCGGGACCCGAACCCAGGCCTCATTGGTGCAAAGTGAGGAAAGAACCGCTACGCTAACCCGCTCCTCTGCACCAAACGCACCAAGCAAAACTCTTGTTAGAACACGACGTAGGAGATAGCGCAGACGTCACAGAGCACTGGGCGTTTATATGCAAAGATCCATCCAATGACAGTTCGAATGGGTATAGTTGTCACCGCCCACTGCATACTCACGTGATGGGCAACTGAACAGTCTTGCTCCTGTCCCCATGTATGTTTCAGGGTGCACCACTAAAAGTAAATTCCCATAGACAGCGGTGATAAATCCCCATACTTCACAGATATTTTAAAAATACTCACAACTCTCACAGGTGTTCAGGCTGCAAAGAAAATTGATGTTCCACATGTCCTCTTTCATTTTCCTTTCAATTTTCGGGGGCTGACCAATGAATTTTTGAGAAATTTTCACCAGAAGCAGACCACCCCTAGAATGCAGAAAATGTCCTTGTCCATAAAGTAGCCATTTTGAAAAACCCTCCCTCGGCAAAATGGCTCAAATAGTGCCACTTTCAAACCCGATTGCATCCAAATTGCTAAGAATTGGAAGCCCTGAGTCCGGCCCAGAGGTTCAGTCTCATATTTCTTCAATTCCTCAGTTACATGGCTCTCAGGACGCTCTAATATAGAATATTTTAAGTGTATTACTTTTATATAGCTCGGCGGACATATTTCTGGCCTAAATACGAGGGTGCGCCCTTTAAGAGGGAAATTATTAACTGCGCATGTCCCGTTTTAGGGTCATTTGCATGCGAAATAAGGGCCATGGGAATTCGTGCCAGGCAAACAGCTGCTTTATTTCATGTCTTATTTTCACTTTTTGGAAATAAAAATTCTTGCCCAAAATATTTTCATGGTAAGATAAGGCCTTTTCTACGGAATTCCAATCGTGCCAGGTTTTTAAAGTACATGTTTTTTATTGCGAAATAACGCAATAGTTTTTTCGAAATAACGGAATAGTTTTGTGCAATAACACAAACGTTTTGGGAAATAACGCAATAGTTTTTTCGAAATAACGCAATAGTTTTGCGAAATAACGCAATCGTTTTGCGAAGTAACGCAATATTTTTTCGAAGCAACGCAATACTATTGCAAAATAAGGCAATACTATTGCAAAATAATGTTGTTAATAATGTTAATTTCCACACGTTGAATGGGGGTGAAGCATACGTGTCCCCGCTCCTCTCTGGTGTTACACTGTGTGCATGGACTCGCGTTGAATGCTTAAGTACGGCCGTCATTGGTCACAATATGATGGGGCGAGGCTTAATGAAGGGTCTATTATTATACGCCACACTTTCCAGAGGAAATCATAGAGCTATCCGCTTCGAGCGGAACAAGAGAGGGCGTGGTTTTTTTGGTATTTACCACTTTGGCGCGCCATGAGGCGCGCAAATACATGCGCGTTTGACGCAGAGCACGCTGAGTACGCGTAACTGATTTATTCCGGCATCTCAGTTTCTTCGACTTCGAAGGATTTGTAGTAACGATGCAGAGTTCTCTACACGTGGGAAGGAAATGCTCAGTTTCTGTCATCAGAGGGGTTACCCTCCGGGTATCACAGACGCTGCCTTCAACACCGTATCTTCAATCCCGCGCAAAAAAGGCTCTGAAACCCACCGGGGCCAAGCAACGTGATCGCGTCCCCCTCGTTCTCACATACCACACTCAAAGCATCCCGGTACGTAATGTTCTTCTCAAACATTTTCCATTTTCACCGAACCCCCCGATTTGTGCGCGTTTAGGCGCGATCGTTCCGTCGGGGACATGGTTGTACATTCCCGGTTAGATTCTGTCTCACCGGCCGTCAAAAGCAGGCAGCAATTCCCCTTGTCAGCGCCCCAGGTGTAACACCTGCCCCTACGTAGTTAACAGCCGTCGGTCGTCAGCCCCCATGTTCGTTAAGAATACTTGGGGATGATACATGCATTACAAGTAATGTGGCTTATTGCATTACATGTCGTCGCTCTGGTGAACTGTACATCGGGAGACCAAGCGTCGCCTTGGTGACCGCTTCGCGGAACACTTGTGTAGTGTGCGCCGACAAACACCAGCTGGTATCACTGTTGCGCAGCACTTTTGCGCGCCGCCACATACCCTCGGTGACGTAAGCGTCTGCATCCTGCAGAAAGCGTCATCCGATATACAGCGTAAGGAGCGGGAGCAGCGCGTCATTTTCGAACTTGGAACGCTGCATTCAGGGGGGATGGACGTGGATTTTTCTGCGTTCATTCAGAACTGAATCTGCTTGCCCTGAAGAAGGTACTCAGTTACTGAAAGCTCGGCAAATACATGTTTCAGAGCACTGATTTTATGTTATATTCTTGTCATTATTGCGGCATGTATCCGGTTCGTAAGTGTGACGTCACTTCAGTTTAAACTACACACGCACTGCTCATAGAGTTACATGCTTTGATCGCCGTTTACATGGAACCGGGAGTTATCGCGCAACTTCAGCGATCGTCCAGTGGGAGCCTGCAAATCGTGGTGCGTCCGCCTTTGTGACGAAGTCACTTACGAACCGGATGGTCTTTACGTACAAGCAGAACGCGTGCAAGGAACCCGCTTGTGACCACCTGTCTCTCTTTTGCCGAGTGGAGGTGCACTTCAGCTCGGGGCGGATACGGGACACAGACGCACTACATTGTCTGTGTTTCGCTCGCTCTCGTGCGATAACTACTATAATAATGGAGAAATTAGACTTTGCCATAACAGCGTATAAGAAGGCCGGATGTGTGTGAATACCTTTAGTATGATATGCATACGCGCGTGGATATAATTTAAACGGTTACTGCCATTATGGATAATAAGTCCTCTTTATCCGAGTTAATTTGTCTCTGTCTTGATTCAGTTTACGAAATTTATTCCGTACCCGACCGGTGACAAAACCACGAGAAAAACGGGCACTGATCAGAAGAGACACCACAACCGCTCTGGCACTACCGTATAGATATCCTGAGGTTTAGTTATCACACGAGTGCGAGTGGAGCACAGAATAATGTAGTGCGTCTGTGTCCCATATCCGATTCGTAAGTGTGACGTCACTTCAGTTTAAACCACGTCCATTGCACATGCACTGCTCATAGAGTTCCAGGCAATTAATGATCGCCGTTCACGTGGAACCATGGAACCGGAAGTTAACGAGCAACTTCAGCGATCGTCCAGTGGGATGGTAAAAGGCATTAGCGAGAGTATCCGCGCATGAACCAACGCGCGCGTATTCCATCCGTTCGTACAGCATCCACTGGCTCTAAATGACGTCACACGACCTGGGTGTCACTCCAGCTTGGCCTTAAAGTCTGGTCACCGAATTTGTTTTGATAAATCCTGACCCTTTACAGGGTCTTCAGATTTCTCCAGTTGAGATGATTTTCCTAGGACGCTAGAGAAAACACAAACGGAATTATTTCACACAGTGCCATACAAGTGTTACATGCTTGCTGTGCAGGCTTACGCTAATTCCATTGAGGCTGATCCATACACCAACTTGTCAGGTTTTGTACTCTTTTGAAAGAATTCAATTATATATCCGCATATGCCCCTGGCCCAAAGAATCCGCGAATAACTGTATTTTCGTTCAATGCTCAAAATTTAATATCTACATTGTTGCCCTTTTCGAAGGTTAAATCTAACAAATCGCTACCCCGAGCACAATGGAAGTTCATGGCTATGTGAACTCATGCAAAACTTCGTTGATGACATGCCATCCGTCATTAATCAATAGGCATATTGGCAGTGTATGCCAAGCTGACGAAGTTGCAGAAAGAAAGAACTTGAGGTCCTTCACACGCAAACACTTCGAATTGGCCATAGGCTGGAGTTGGAAAACGTCAACCCTAGATTTAAAAAGAAAAGCAAGCTGAAGTCACAAATCTTTTGACTCAGAGCGACCAATTGTAAACAACATCGGTATTCTGACCATGTCTGCCACTACACATTGATATCGGAAATCCCACTGAATTCAAGCTACCCCTGTGCATCCAGCATCCACTATATGATTCAGTTAATTTCAGTACCAATTTGATGAAATGAAATTAGAAAAATAATTCATGTCAGATGTCTAAATTGGGACTGGATAGAAAAGCAAACAACACAACTCAGCAATGCAATGCCTACTTTGTGTGCAAACGATTCCGAATTCCAATGAAACGACGCAACCACGCAAGCAGCAACCATTTCGGGTTTTAATTAAATCACCAGGCAGTTACCAGAGACAGTAGCAGAGCACTCTATGCACACATCCTGCTTTCACGCAAATAAGCCATGAAATTGGCTGATTGGAATAATGATCAAACTAGACATGGGCTGATTACGCCCTTTGCCATATCGGCGCTGTGTCATCTACAAATCTTGCCCAACAACATTCATAAGTAATGAATTGTAGCTCGCTGTAAAAGTGACGCATGCGCACGATTGCTTCTTCATCTTTCCGTGTATATAAGGGCGTTTGGGGCGCACTTCGCGTTCGCATGCGCACAGAAGTGTGTTCATCGAGATTTTAAAGACGTTGCACGCCGGAAAATAGTTACAAGTGCCTCTCATACCAAAATCGAACCCGAGAAGGCGACTTGACAGCGATGAATGAAAACCAATTCGTCGCGTATCGACTCAATCTTCTCCGAGTTATTGAAGGCTTATAAAATCGACTGTAGCTGGGCCTATATTCAGTACTGCAGGCCTGCTCTGTCTTGATAAAATTCACAACTATGAAGCCAAAACACACAACAGACCTCGGCAATTTACTTGATGGTAACTGATGCACTTCGTGTAGACGGCTTCCTTGCATATGATCCTCCAACCGAGTGGCATTTTACGACCTGATATTGTCATGGCCGGCCTCTGTATGCAGGCTTATTAGCGGAACTGAGTGGAGTCCGACCCTTCATCGTCTTGACAAACAAATACGCAGGCAATTTTCATCGGTCTGTTGATTCAGCGCATATCTATGAATTCGATGGGTTAAAGAAATAGAAAACGACATGCAGGTAAGCGTAACATATTTTGAGGGAGTATTCAACTATACTTTGGTGCCTTAGCCTGAGCTAATCGCAAGAACTCGGGCTTAAATAATATGGGGAAAACAAGTTTTTAAAGGGCATGTTTCTATCGGGTATTAATAGCTCTTCTGGTACTGCGTTACCAAAAATTAATGTTTGTCACTCATCAAATATGACATCCAAAGGAATATTTCTTTGCATGACTGAAAAAAGGGTTCTATCTCAGGATTATGAGAATAGCCTTGGAAGTCTGTTTGCTGTGAAACCGCTTCGTCGGGAAGAAATTTACTGGGATGATTAACAGTAATGGCATTAGACTAATTACGGGACAATTCATACGCGATAAACGACCACTGTAATTTGCAACATCTGTCGACATGTTAAGTTATTAACACGCGGGAAGGAATATTTAGCAGCACGGGAAAGAAACATGCAGGAAAAAAGAGACCTGGGGAGGGGAGTACTGGTAACAAATCACGTAAATAACTTGCCATTCCAAAAAGAACGATTTTGCGATGCTCAAATAGCTTTTGAATTAAACCATTAAAGAGAGAGAACGTCCCTGACGTGCGACATCACTCGACTCCATTACCGTGTCATGGTCCATGTGAGAAGTATATATGGGGCAGTCTCGTGATAGTTGGGTGGTCTCTTAGTGGGTATCGCTGACTCCATGGTTCAGTAACGAGGAAATCATTGATGAAGTCCATTATCACGTATCTGCTTTGCTTGCGGTGATTTTTCACTCGCCGGTTTGGGTCCAAATTAATAAGTTATGGATGTTATAACGAGAACATCCACGGTGCCAAGTGGTACACGTCCGGGGTGTTTCTCCTCAGTCATTTACAAGTAAACTTTTTTTTTACCCCCCTCCCTTTTATCCCTTCTCCCCCCCTCATTTTGTTCTCCTCGAGGGAACGCCCATGATTTCTGTATTATTTTCTCCTCGATCCGTTTATTGGGTGAAGGTCCATATCGTCTGTTGACTCAGTTCGTTTCCTATCCACTCGCCACCTTAAACCATCTCAATTTCTCTTTGGGAATATCAGCGGTGACTAAATCATGTTAAGATTTCTTGTGGTTTCGTCATTTCTTCGCAGGACATTTCAACAACCATTAATTATCGAGTAAGAAGTGAGGAAGACATCAATACCATACATTGGTACATATGCGCAGGCGTGCGAGGTTTGTTATCCACCAATTTCCGCTGACTTTCTTTCAGGAGGTGGAGCAGGAATGGAAACGATCCAAGAGGAAAGATCCAGAAGTCTTGCACATGCCTGTGATCTATCCTAAATGAGTTAAGTCTCAGTTGAAAATGGAGGGAAATCGTGAGTCGTCTCTTGTGACCTCAACATCTTCAACGGAAGAAGACACCAATGTGATCCTCATCTACTTTCGTACTATCTTCATTATCTGCGACGTAGTCTGTACACTATGTGGTAACACCATCTCCACGATCATCATCCACAGAGCCCAGGGCTTTTCGGACAGCGTGCGGGTGCTCATGACTTCGCTGTGCCTGGCTGATCTCGGAGTTGGCCTCACGCTGATCTCATCAGCCGTATCATCGGCAGCCGACAGGTGGATCTTCGGGGACCCCTGGTGCAAAGTCACGGCTGGCCTGTTAGCCGTGTGCCTTAGCATGTCCGTGTTTTCGTTACTCGGGGTGAGCGTGGATCGCCTCATTGCAATACGCTGGCCGCTGCGGCACCCAATGTTGATAACTGAGCGAAGAGTTCAGATCGGATGCGTATTGCTTTGGGTTACCAGCGCAGTAGTCGCTGCAGGAAATGTTTGGATGCACAGCGACATAACTAATTACCAGCAAGTAGCATCAATATGTTACATGAATTTCCTGTCCGGTCCGGCTGGCGTCGCCATTGAGATCTTCAACGCAACGGTTCTCTGTGTGTTACCTCTTGCCACAATCGTCCTCATTTACACGAATTTACTGACCATCAGTGCTAGACACCAGCGGCAATTACGTGACAATCTAGCCTTGCAGCCCGCCAATACCATTGTTTCAAACCAAGAGGCCTCTTTGAATCATCATATACCCAAGTCCAGCACTGGGGAGACGGGCAAAAGGCGGGCTGCACTGAACAGGAAAGCCCTGATAATGTTCCTGGTGGTGTCACTAGGGTTTGCACTGTGTTGGGCGCCTCACTTTGCCATGAGGCTCTACGGGGCATTAACGGGAGGCACACTATCTGAATGGGTGCAACTCTTGTACGTGTGGCTCCCCATGTCCAACAGTTTCTGGAATGTCGTCATATACACCTTAATGAATGGCTCTTTCAGAAGAGAGGTGATTAAGCTATTCAGAGAAATGAGGTGTTGCTTCAGGCACAGAGTAGTGCCTCAAACGAATGAACACAGTCGAGAGGAACATCCATCGAGGTTGACGCAACCTCGCGCACAATCTGGCGACTGTTAAAAAGGCATAAGAGTAATGATTTGGAAAGAATAGTATGCAGCAAGTGAGCTGATGTTCACCTTTGGACCTTATATACAAAGTGAATGTTTACTTTATTCGGAGGAAAGGAGTGCAGTCTCATAATATTAATGAAAAAATAATATTAATGAAAACAAATTGATGCGTTTGTTTGGACCACACTGACAAGAGCTGTTCTTGTCAGGGCAATATAAGTTCCGTTTGTCATGAGATATTCGTAGACTTATGTGCAAAAAAAATGAACTGAAAGCAGTAGATGTGTTTCTTGTCTTGTTATGTTGACAAGATATTGTCCAATATTTGCAAATAGGTTATTTGGGAGACATTCTGTGGTAAATTTCTCAGCATTAGGGAGACATCGGCTTTTAGGGAGACATTTCAGTGCCTCCCTATTTTCAAACTACCAGAAGGAGGCCGAATTTTACCGTCCAAGTTTTGAGAGATGATAGATTAGGGTCTAAAACGAAAACGTACAAAGTTTCGTTCAGATCAGACTAGGGAATATTGAATTATGGGACAGTAAAGTTGAAAAAATTTTGTGCACGTTCTTATGGGAATGTCTCCCTAATGACCCATTAGCGGTAATTATAAATTCCCTAAGTATTAGCCTCGAGCAGGACCAAGAGAGGGCGCTATTTTCTTAGCAACGGAGGCTCCTCTGGTCAGAACGACTAGGAAATGCACGCGTCACGGTCGCATCGCTACCAACAAAGTAAGCACCCCCGACCAACGCGGCTCTTTTCAACCGATGAAGGGAAGCTTCTGCTCGGGCCGGATTCAAGCTGTTGACTGCAGTGACCACCGCTGTATCGATCCGAAGAAGCTCTCCAACCCCGACAAACTCGTTGGTCGAGTGGAAAAAGGCGAGGACATCATCGAATCCCATCGAAGCAAACGCTGTTTCCCACAAGCTCTCGAAAAGCACGGAAAACAAGTGGATTCTTGTGGCTACAGATACTCAACAGAACAAGTTCGATCTTGTCAGCATGACAAGCCTTTGCTTCGATGTATGTCTCGGAATATACTATAATATTCGTTCAGTTGACAGAAGGATAAAGAACACATTTTGTGACTCGTGTAAAGAGGTACGTTGAGAAGCTTTTTCCAGGCATACTGTACATTTTATGATACCTCAAATGAATGAATGCAATCAAGGCAAATATCCATCGAAGTTTACATGACAAGTTAACACATATCGCACTGACAACTCCCTTGGGAACTTCGATGCTTCAAACGTAGACGGATATCGCAATCTAGTGGACACAACAATGCACAACTATTTTCTCGGGGTTCAGCCTCACTTCTACGGTGTATAATACCTATAATGTCGCTATTACGGAGAAGGTGCGATATAGAACAAGCTGATATAGGTGAGATATCATACGTTCAGATTATGTGTCTCGAAACCTGAGTAAAAAGAAAACAAACACGGAGCATATTCCGCTGACTAACACAACGATTTTTTTTGTCTTATAGATCGAGTTTTTATTTTGTGCAACGACGATTCAATGTCATTCTCCTTAATCTTACTTTTTTGACAAATTCTCACTTCCAAAATAAACCTGACAAGTTTTATGTTAGGAAGAAAGGAATGATGGAGGTGCCCAGAATTGAAGCACATTGTTGAAGATCAACAAGACTATCTTTTTTCGGAATTCTGTCCGGAAATTGATTACAACCATTTCCAAATTTTTAGGCATCAACATAACTTAAGCACGTAATGGATTTTCAAAGAGAGTCAAAGGGAAAACTGATGACACTTCCCGATCGACATTTCCTGTGTTAATAATTACGGAGTTAAATTCTCTCACCGATGATTCATGGACTGAGCGATTGCTGTTATGTATATAAAGTAACCGTCAATTTGCGGAAAGTTGATTGCCCTGAGCCGGTGGCACGCAGTCCAAGCAATTTACGGGTTGTTGGGCGACTATACGACGGCGGGTGCTTTACGAGTGATCTTTTAGAGGTAAACATCAATGGTGGTACATTCTGACGGATTGATGTGAAATAATAATGACATTTACACAGTAAAGTAACAAAACGTCGAAGACAGGAAAAAGCAACTAAGGGAACGGCACGAATGAAGGAAATCCTGTTTAGTATGAGTATACCGTTTTTGCACGTTTGCACACAAAGTGTAAGCTTAATTACAAATAAAAAGTCGATATTAAAGTTTCATTTTTTTTCAATTACTGCTATCTATGCGCTTGAAGATTTCAGGCTTTGTAGTTAAAGGTAAAAAGACATTTTACAATATCCTTTGAATGTTGAACCTGTTAAATTTCATACACAATGCCACGAACATTTATCGTATCCCGTGAAGCACATCGGAACATATTCTTTAATTTAAGCAAAATTAATTCACACTGCCCTATCAGGATAAATAAACATTTCACTTTTATATGTTAATAGTATCTGCTTTGCATAAACACGAAAAGCCGCTTCACGTTACAAACTTACACGTTTGGATCCTAACCCTCAAAGATTACAATAGGCTTTAAAAGGTTTTTAATCGGCTCCATTTTTCTTTCGCCCTTTTTTTACTTTCTTTAACTAGAATTTTTAACCCTTGTGGCGATAAAAACTATGAGTTAATAATGCATGTAGTGAAACCCAAATCCTGTAATTATAAAGGTAAAATAAACTGCAAAATTCGGTTTCTTTCGGTGGCACTTCATTCGTGCAGACCTACATTTGCCAAATCACGACACCCTATTTAGGGATTGCAGTTCACGGTTTTTCAGTGGTTCCATGCCATACGAAGAATGGTCACCAAGTACCAAGTGGAAGGGGTCTATTGGTCGAGAAGGCATGCGTGTAGGCCTAATACACTTGTACCACATGTCCACGCGCGTATAGTTTCACCGTAGAGATGGCTCCTAATTCTTCTTGCCGAATTACCCCATAAACGGTAGTGTCCTGTTGGTGAGTTGTGTAAGCCTTCCAGACAATCTCTGATTTCTGTTTTAAGCCGCTTTCTCAAGCTGTTTCTAGATGACTGAAAACCGTTTACCTGCAAGCAGTTCATCGCACAGAGACATTCAAACAAGGCATAGATTCTTGATGAGGACATTACGAAAAAAGAGAGGAAACAGAAGGCTGTCATTCCATCCTAGGCGATATGAGAGAGACTCTCGACCGACTCTTCCGGCGACGCGTACGGGCAGCGGTGTCGCACTACATGCTTCACCGACTCGTCCACGAAGTCGAAATAGTTCAGGTTCAACCTGGCTGCCAGTTTGCGACCAAGCTTCTCCAGCTTGTGCCTCCGGATACTGGAGGATGTCAGGGCTTGCTCCTCCACATGAAAACCGTTCAGAACAATCTTGTAATAGGTGTCACCGGTCCCTAAATTTGGAAAAGTTTAAAATTATTAGTTTGTGTAGATTTTTGGTATGTCTGTATGGAAATGGCAACATGTTTCAGAAGGTCCGGTTGCCTAATATCTTGAATTAAAAAGATGCGTGGACAGTGACATCGACGTGAGTATAACCCTGCAAAACACTGCACCGTGTCCTTGTAAGGCTCATTTTGTGTCAAATATCTTTTTGAGCGGATGAGGGGACATAGGCTATAAAATTCACATGGATATAATTTTTATAGTTTCAGATAGATTGATAATACGCAAAGAAATCTGTTAATTTTCCTGGTGAAGAATTCAGGAGGAATTTCTACAAATCAAATTCTAAATAGGCTACATCCTTTGTTATTTCAAAACACATGCATGTTTCATACTTTTGTTAATTGAAATGTATTGCACTGCTTTGGGATGGAAAATACACAGCAATTTCTCTATCGCTTGCGATTCTGAAACTTACCACTCTTCTGACCAACTAATCTGATGTAGACATTGTGAACGTGGCCGCGGTATACCAGTCGGTTGCCCGTGTGGAATTCGTACTCGTTTCGGGTCATGTCTAGGACAATGCGCCGGACGTCAGAGTAGACGAACGTGGCGTAGAGGCATACCATGAAAGCCATGACGAAGTACGTCAGAAACTGATCCACAGGGTTAGTTACGTAGTAGCCCACCGTGCCGAAGAAAGTCGCCAGCAAACAGACAGAGGAGACCCACAGCCACGGTGAACGAAGAGACACCTCGAAGTGATCGGGAGAGGTCTCTGAGAAAGGATGGATCGGGTTCTTCTCCAGTTTCCTCCTGAAAACCTCCTCGGGTGGTGTCCAAAAGTTCAGGTCCCAGGTACCGAATACTCCAACGTGTTTCTTAGACATGCTTTATGATGGACAGGAATATTGAAGACACTAATTCCATCTGGCTAAGGACGATCTATCCTCAAATACCCAAGAAAATGTCCATCTCGCAGACATGCATGATTTAGAAGATACACTGCTTTACTTCAAGCTTCGTATGTGCCAACGCTGTAAATTCTGCTTTATGTCACAATCCAAGCGGTTAACGTGTTCGCATCAATGAAAGACAAAAGTAAAAACATTAAGTTACATTAACAGTTAAATGTACTCCCGCAGTATTTGGCAAACACTGCAAATTGAGAGTTTGTTTACTTGTAAGTCTGAACAGTTACAAACGGCCCGCGTTTTTCCCATATCACGCAGAGGGGAGCGCGAAATTCCAAATTCCTACTCCAACGCCATTCGCACGCCTAAGTGACAACGCACAAGACGCGCGCAACATTGCCCAAATCTGAGACAAACTTTGGATTTCTTTTGGCTGGATCAACTTCTATGTTTCTTACCAATATGGTACTCAAAGTATCTATGTTCGAATGGTTAACACTTAAAAGTATAAAACATTTAATGGCGATTAGCTAAAAGAATGTAGGCGCTCGGAAACAAATCAGGCATTGATTACCCAGTCTGATGCATAGCACAGTGCTGGACGTGGCGCCGAAAGTGCGCCATAGCACAAATACGTTAATTAATACACGTTCAAAATCGTACAGCACTATGAATGAAATGATTATGTATCTTAAAGCAAAGCTCTATCTGTGATATCTGCTGCCCCATTTTCTTCACCACTCGCTGTAGACGTCGATCAAGTGTACAAGTTATGCGAGAGCCGATCAAATCCACTTTTTCATTTCTACTTCTTTTTTTATTATTATTATTCAGCTCCACTGTCACAATTATTTCTGTTGGCATCTCTATCTCCCGATATTGATCGCCCTTTTCATGTCCTTTTTTTCAGCTAAAGGCGAAGTTACATATCCATGAAGAACACGTCCTTTGGATTCATCATTACATATAAACAAGAAAACAGCTGTGACTGACAGCGCCAATCCTCTTTCATTGAACAAAACTATTTTATTCTCATCTATAAAACAAAATTAAATGATGTCCGACAACACTGTCACAGTTCAGAATTCCTGGTCCCAAATATAAAAATGGTATGCTAACTTCACTTTTATCTTAGCCTTTAGCACTAAAGATTGAAAGTCATCTTATACCCATCTTGTATAGAGCGGACAGTGTGCAATACCTTCTCGTGAAAGACTTTTACATCAGACTTTTACATTTAATTCCGCAAGATTTAAGTCTTCGGATGGGCAATTACTTCGACCACTTTCTTTCCTCTTCGAATCGGTTTATCGACTTGCCTCTCTAATCTCTTTCCAGATCAGACCCGACCTTTCCATCTATTTGATGCTGATATCTTTTTATCCATAGTGACATCATCCTTTGTTACCTTTGAAACGCACCGACGGTCCCCTGGGGATGTCGGAAATATACCTGTCTGTTGTTTTGCAGGAAAATAACTAACATCGGTCCCAAATCTAAAACACAGTTCCATTCAAGATGATAGAGTACAGTTACAATTTCACCTTATCCAGTTCAGGATGTAGTTTTAATTATTTCATTCTGAATTGTCAAATCTCTCCACTGACCAACAAAGGCGCTTACATTACGGAACTAAAACAAAAGGTGGAACGTAGTACCTTTATTCTCGTGTGTCTTTAGTTAATTGCAGTTAACATTAAGAAGCCGGTGGTTTTCACATTGTTAGCCAATGTACGCTTTTGCATGGTCTCACATCATCAAACGAGACGTATAGTCATTGACCACAATTATATGTATTTCACACCAACGTTTAATTTTCACCAATATACACGCTCTGTGAAAAACATCACTCCGCGCAAAAAAAATGACATTTTGCTAGATCAGCAATTACAAAAAAAGTGCCGACATTATGTGCTCGACCTCATTGCATAAAACTCCAAAAACACTGATAGGCACAAATCATGGGGGGGTGATGAAACAAAATGGGGGTACGGAATCCCCTCGTACACCAAGTTGAGGGAGTCAGGTTCGTGAGTACCAGCCCATCAAAAGGAAGGAGCAGATTGACTCTGACTCACTCTCGGTCGGGCATTTATACAAATTATAGACATTAAAGGCACTTGACGACCCTTCCAGGGCTTTACAAAAAGAGATAATCGAGTTGCTTTATTTATGATTTGGAGCCTTCTTCTTTTGAACTTATACTATATTGACTACGTGGATAATGACTTAAAATCAACCTATAAACATGGCGCAATGCAGTATAAACTCAACTAAATATGCCTTGTTTCAGTTACCAAGGTTCAAAGCTATATAGCGCCCTCCTCCACTCCATTAGAAATGTTTCAAAATAATCTTCCATGATACCATTGAGAAGAAATTACGATATTAAACACGGTCATTCTATCTATCAAAATTCCCGTAAATATTGAAATGGATTCATCTCAGAAAGGCAAATATTCCTCTGCGAGTCAGTATAGGATCCTGCCGGATACAGCAATGGCTGACCTTTGGTAAAGCCCCTTGAAATAGGAGTAAAATCGAGCATTTAGGGAGATCACTAATTCATTCGGAAGCAATTTACCGCCTCCAGCACTTTACGTGTGAGATGCAGTAGTGTGTGAACAATGCAATCAAAGTCCGTACAGTTACCGGCTCAAATCCAGATCGTTTATTTCGATCAAATTAGCCCACATACAGGTACATTGACGACACCACTTCCCAGTTGCATGCCACACCTTTCGATCGATGTTCAGCGCATGTGTTTTTCAAATGTCCAAATTAATATGCGAGATGTTCTGAACTCAGGGCAGCATAACCATGACGATGTTTGCACGGCGCGGGGCCCCAGCTTTATACGCTTAGGCGTGGTGTCAGAAATCTAATGACCCTCACTTAAAGGCTGTCTCTAGTCCATGTATAGTCCCTTTCATTTGCCGACCACAATAATTTACCCAGGTTTACAGCATTCTAAGAAACTGGCTTGTGTATTACTTCTGATATTGTGTTAACTCTGACCCCTTGGGGTAAAACCTATAGTTTTGATTGAGGATAGCACGTTGCATCCTGATTCCATCTCTGCAGCCGTGCACAAAGTCTGTGGGGAGCCAAGAAATTGCCCATTTTCTAACAAAATTAGACATTTTCCTCAAAGCTCAATTGCAGAGTACCCCACCACCCCCGCATGATCAACCTCATAGCCAAGTACAGTTGAAAGTCTCACACTTTTCTCAAGGGATTTTCACCTTGTACCCACGTAATCAGTCATCAGAGGCGTCGTTTTTTAGAGTGGCGGGGTATTCTGCAATACGAGCGATTCATAAGAGTGCGCCACCAAGAGTTTGCAACACGTTAGCCAATCATAACGCGCGAAAGTTGTCGACCCTTTCCAAACGCGCATTGGGTCGACAAATTTCGCGCATTGTGATTGGCCAACGCGTTGCAAACTCTTGGTGGCGCACTCTTGTGAATCGCCCGCATACTACAACGCACTCCTTTCTCAATCCCAGATTCTTGTCTTTTCAACATTTCTGCAATGACTGGCCTTTAATGCTGAGATGATGAATGAAAAAAGAGGAGACAGAATGCAACAATCTTTCCGCCTACCACCATGACCATAATACAACGGGTTAAAACACATGTAATAGAATGGTGCAGACTCGACAGCTTTGCTTTGAAACAGTGCTCACCTTGAGTATAAGCAAGACATTGCTTACTTATGGTAGTCTTAGTCTTGGGCAGGCACTCGTTATGGAAAGCGAGGGAAAGAAAGAAGACCTCGTAGTTGCCAATGTTCTGAGTACAGCTCAAACTAAATGGTACAATGCCCATGGTAGCTGCCCGCCATTTGTTATGCCAACCACATGCACAAGGAGAAAGTAACAACGTCTGTGACGTATCGTGCGTGTTTAGGGGGCCCGCCACTGGACAAGGATTCAGACGAAGTGTTACGGCGGCTGAAACAGTGCAGGGGAGTTGGCATTATGTTTCTATAATTTAGGGATACAATGTTTAAGCTTCTTTTGGGAAATAAAGAAATCTTGCGCTTCCATGTCAGCTTATAAATATTTTCAAGGAAGTTTTCCACATTATTGTACACAATTTGAACCATGTGGCAGAGTTTTCAATTCAGCAGTCCCTTTGCTCGTCGTTGTTCAACCCTTTGACGTAATGGCGTCGTCCGGCAAATTCAAAAAAGTTGCTTGGCCGATTTGCATGTGAATTGAGCGCTCACATTCTTAACACCAGCTGCATTTCCAAAAGCAACAGCACAATCATCGGTATGCAGAGCACCAACAGGAGATTTTGATAATTCAGAAATAAATGGATTGGGAGATACAGTTTTTTGGGGAGGGGGGATATTTTATAGGTTTTTGGCATAATAACTGTCTTAAAAGGATCGCACGACACAATGAACCGAAATTACTTGAGATTGATCTCCGAGAAAATCCAGTCCACTCAATAAATACTTTTCCCCACAAAACAAAGCGTTTTATTTCAAATTAGACTGTTTGAATGAGTTAAATTTTTCTTATGCTGTGTGCTCACCAAGAAAGTCTCCAAACCACACAAAGTCCACATTAAACTGAAATCACAAAGCATTTTATGCATGTGCCAATCAGCTCCGTTTTGACCAATTACCGTAGTACAATAAAAGAGGTAAAGTTCAGATCAATAATAAACGAAATACAAACAATACTGCAAACTGTCAATCAGGTAAGACGGAAAACAGGGACGGGTTTGATGAATTCATAATACATGTATTTCTATAATATAAGACTGCAAATACTATAAAATAATACAGAATAGATCCTTTTGAAATTTGTATCCTTCATTATTTTTTCTTTATATGTACTAGTAAAACAGAACACTTCCGATCTTCTAAGACTGGAATTAACTGGCCTCATTTCTCCCTTTTATCCGCACAGAACTGGAACTTCAGTCCCTTTGCATTTCGACATCAAACTTGCCTTTCAAGACAGAGAACAGAAAATGTTAAAGCTCAATTTTTCAGCAAAATGTACACAACTTCCAAATCACATCTTGCTGCTTTGAGCTTAAAAAGCCATACACCATTTTTTAGTTTATAACCTTTAATCTCCAGTCCTTTTTCCAAACAATGATCAGTTGATGTGTACTCGAGCCACATCTTGACAAAATGACTCCCTACAGAAGGTGTGGTACATAGAGAGAGTGGCATAACACGACATAACACGACAAGTGTCAATCACAGTACCAGTACTGTACAACTACTACCTTTAGTACTGAAGGTGGAACTAGAAAAAATCTCACGAAAACAACAGTGGAAGCGCGGGCACTTTTTAAAAAGAAACTGCAAATGCAATTCAGTCTTTGTCTAAATTCCGAAGCAACTATGAGTCAGTTTGATAATTCAAAGGGAAGATCATTTGAGAACGAAAGGCCTTACACCGGTTGGAACATGTTCTTGCAGAGGTATAATATTCTCAAATCACCGACTGCACACTTCATTTGAACATACACCGTTGAAAGACCATTCTGACTCGGGCATTAAAGAGAAAAAGTAAGCCGACCTGAAGATTTTGAGTCCAGGAGCAAACTCGAGACCTGCACAAATGCATGGACTTGTCGAGGCCCAACTCAACAAGTGGATAAGTTATTTTGATACTCATTTCCTAAGTGCTGCAAATGTTTGCTTAGCGAAAGAAAAGGTTACCAGCCAAAAGTCACACAATGTCTACCACTCCTGACTGGTTCCCGGCTGTTCCTTTCACTGAATGCATAAAGGGACTTCTGCTAATTAAATAAAAGTGTTCAACAACTTCGGTTTAATGAAAGTGTTTAACAACTTCACCAAGGCTTCAAAGATAACAAGTTCAGGTCTTCCTTTTCAAAGTTTTGCCTTGGACAACAGGTGAACTACAAAACTGCAAAGCAACACGACGTAATTTACCGGTACATGAAATCTGAAGTACATTTGTACACATTCCCACAAGAACTCCGGTATTACGCATCATTCCACCCTATTCTGCGGCGAAACTACAAAGCCTAGAGAACAAGTGGTAGACCCACAATGTGAAAGCGACATTTACATTGGTAGGCTTTCTACTGAGGTTGCGTTTAAATAACTAGCTTTATGGAGACACACAACTGCTTCTGAAGCCGTCTTCAACTCGACAAAGAAAAAAAATGAACAGAGGGCGCCAAACACATCATATACACTCACTGAACTAAATAAGTCCACACAACTTCGTCTTCCATTTTCTCAAAACTAGAGGGGGTAATACCAATGGTAGAGTACAGACGGATGGAAGTCAGAAATGATGGGCGACAATTTCAACATAAAAAACGAAAAAAAAAAGTTGATAAGAAATTCTATTGCTGCAATTTCAAAGTTTTAATTTCAACTTCAGATACAAATTAAAGAGGGTAAATAAACAATACTGATTAGCAAAGGGAATATGAAGTGACGATGAATAGACAGAATTTGTTAAAATAACCTTGGCAACAAAACCAAAGCGAACAAGAATGCTGAATGATTGGGATGCATCCAGGCACCAATAACATAATCTCCTCACCATATCAACATGGGCGTTTCACAATAGTGCTTCTGCAAGCATTTGCAATGTGTTGGCCAATCACAATGCGCAAAATCTGTCAACCCAGTGCGTGTTTCGACTAGGCCGACAAATTTCTTGTGTTTTGATTGGCCAACGCGTCGCAAACTCTTGGAGGTGCATTGTTAGGAATCGCCCGCATTGCCACCTGTTTCGCACATATTTTCTCTCCTTTTTTCTCTACACGCCCCGACAACAGAACAAAATAATAATGCATTTCTACTTCAAAATGCAGCGCTTACTACCCCTGTTAACAATGTGTTCCTACTGGTAGGCATTTCCAACTCTGTAATTTCCATCACAAAGCCCAACACCTCTTCTTAACAGCAGATCTACCTCACTGAGTTGTACTTTTGCATCAAGATGTCTCAGCTCCTGAAAGCGACACTGCCGACTGCTTCGTAATAGCCTAGAAGTTATTCTGGTAGCTAGCAATGGCTCAAATATTCACCTATCAAATAAATTACATGTATATCGCTCACTCTCCACTCTCCCAAAAATCTAACATTTACAGAAGCACTTCTCACTCACTCGTCCAAAATATCAATAATATCCTATTTACATTCGGTACCAAAGAACTGAAGTGCTGTATCAAAACATTTCATCGACTCCGTGCTGTTTTGAAACTCATTTTGCTGACGTATATACACAGCTTTTTTTATTTACATGATGCCTTCCGACACTGAGCTTTCGATGCCAAACAAAAGGAGAGATAAATACACTAATGAATGCATTTATCATAACAAGATACAGGGGGTAACCATGGGCGTCACCGGGACTTTTTTCGGGAGGGGGGGGCATAGCGCTTGTCATCGGCAACCTGATAAAACCACTAACAATGGGTGGAAGGCAATTTAGAGGTGTTTTCAAGCAAATTGGTGATTTTCACTATTTTAGTGATTTTGGTGACAAGATGAGTGCCTCTAAATAAAGTATGAATGAATTTGAAAAGCAAGGAATAATTTCAAAAATGAAAAAACACGAACAGGAAGTAAGCTGATGATCTTGGAAGAACTTGCCAGAAAGTTCTTGATACATTGACCACTTGCTTCTGGGTTTAATTTGAAGTTGCATGATGTAAAATCGGGGAACTTTCAAGATTTTGTGTTTTCAAAATTCTTCAAAAAAATCCTAAGTACATTTACTGGATGTTTACACCCACACGAATTACTGTCTGGTAGCTACTCTAATAAAACAGACAACATCTATTGATGCCTGAGTATTTCAGCCAGGTCTGCCGCCTGGTAAAAAGAGCCCAGATTGTGTGGTGTTACATAAGTTTCATTTGTTCCAGAAACTGGCACAGTGTGGGGCTGGCATCTTTTCAATAGGGGCCAGATTAGCATGCAGCGGTATTGTATCGCTCATCACTGTAGCCCTGGAGCGCTTTTGTATCGGGTGGTAATCTGCTCATGCTGAATGCCACAAACAGTGGTATAATCGTTCAAAACAATGACGGATTTCTGCCGCTACTGACAACTGAAAAAATGTTGGCGATTCCCAGCAGCTCGGTCTTTTGTTCCGAGTATGGTCTTTTGTTGTAAGGCCCAGCTCTTTTGTCTGGTTTCGGGCTCCCAGGCTTCGTGTATAAAGCCTATGTGCCCGAAACCAGGCTGCCCGGCAGGAAGCGGTTAAAGCCATTTCTTCAACCCTAACTGAATTTCCATCTCCGATATTATCCCTTTGACTATTTCAACGAAACTGATGAGAGGACTTCAGACTTCGGCTTTGCATTCCTTGGGGCACTGCGAACAAGTACCACCTCACTGGTCACTTATCAGTGTTGTAGTTGCGTCCATCACAAGTTCCTTTGCAAGTCAAGTCACAAGTCCACAATGAAGTCACAAGTGAACAATCAATGACAAAAGGATGTTCTTGTCACGGTTCATTTGAATGGCTTGCGACTTGGCTTCAGGCTGGATGTCTTGTGAATGGACTCACGGGGACTTGGCCTACGCTGCACCATTCTCATGCCAACAGGTGTAAGCAGGCACTGTGCTGACCCCACCGGATGCCATTGCCAGAGCGCCCTCTCTCATTCAGGTGCACAGGAAATATACAGCAGGGCTTTTGCCTGGGTCGGACCATCTAGGAGGTCTACAGTTTGAAGTCCAGCAGAAGCCTGATGCCGAGAGAAAGAGCCAACGCTTGACAAGTGGCCCCAGTATCCTAACCCCGTTTCTCTGAATTCTCCCTTGCAAAGCGCCATTTGAGTGTCCACATCATACGATTGGAACCTTTACCATCTTTCAAATTGAACAAATTTAAGAATGTTTATGCCCCACGAACAGATCAAGCAACTTTTCGCGAAACTACGGTAAACCAACAAAAAAAGCCACGACTGTCGTTGCAAAGGATACAATCCCAAACTGAATTAATTTCAGACACCCTTTTTTCACAATACAAACACTATTTTCACACAGAATCTCCCAGTGACAGGGGACTTCAAGTTTCCCCGCATGACAGCAGATCACATTCTGTGCACTTATCAAACTCTGCCTCATGAGGGGGTGTATTTTCCCAAAGTTCTTGTTCAGCCTCACCCCTGGGCACATGTTGAGTAAAACTTCACATAGAAATGAATCCTCCATACCAAATCCTTTTTTTGATTATCTTTATCTGGATTACAATCTGGTTTGTAGCCTTTCATACCCTGTCTAACCTCGGAATGTACCAACCTACATTTAATCTTTGGCAGCCGAAACTTCCTTGTGAGGGACCGATGAGTCTTCCAAGTTGGAGCAATCCCACGTCAGTAATTGTCAAAAACTACCTTACGATCTCCAAAGTCTCAATCCTCTTGAGAAGTCCAGTCTCAACAGTGACTCCAAACGCATGTGACATACAACTACCAATAAATAAGTGCAGAAACCAGACCGCTCGCATCGTGGAAGAACGTTCTGGAATAAGTTCACACACCTCCAAATGACCTCTCTTTGACCTCTGGCCTGCGTCACTGGGGGATCTCTAACGAGAGGGCTTGAACTATCCAGGGGTCGCACTTGGAACCCTCTCGAAATTCTTCTTTGGTCAGCTTTCCATCTCTATTCTGTGAAAAAAAACCCACTAATTTTATTACCCTAAGGTAAGAAATACACAACAAAGAAAAACAAGTTCCTTTTTACGAGGCTTTTTTTTAAAGAATTGAAGCCGACACTTAGCAATTGTACATGCCTGTAAATGGACATACACCTGTAAGTACATTTCTGATGTGGAAATTGCAGGCTGGTGGTCTGTGTTTAAGTAAGCTCAACTTTTGAACAGGTGGCTTGGAAGTCTTGCCATTCAAGCTCCTAATACAGCAAATCTGGCACTGAATCTAGGATAAGGACTAGTGTTGAATTCTGACGAGTGGTGTCAAGTGACCCAGTAAAAAATCCCTACAGTTAAGCACACCCATCTTGTGGTTTTTTTCCAGTTGAAGTCTGATGGAAAACACTGCAGGCTCTAGGGGCCAGTCTCCAGGCCGGTCTCCATGCTGGACATTTCACAAGTCATTGAACACACTGCACAGTGTTACGTACCGCATCCATCTGGCCGAATATCTTGTTTACTCTCTTCTCCGGTGTGTCCTCGTCTTGTGGTAGATCCAGCATATTGCCCTGATGACGTAAAGCAGGTGTTGTTACTCATCTTTTATTTTTCTCCAGCCTCGAGTATGCATCTGGCCCTTGAAAAACTGCTCTGGTCATGTAAAAACTCTCTCGTTAAACGGCTCGGGATCATACAACAGAACTGGTGGCTTTTTTTTTCAGTTCCCCCAAGCTAAATTAAAAACCCAGGTGTTTTTCCCAAGGTCATGTGACACATGTCAGCTCCGGCTGCCCTGACAGTGACATTCCAGGCCACGTTGGAGGACAGATCCAGGAAAAGGGAAGGAAGTTTTCTCTCACAAAAACTTGGCGGGGCAGGGGGAGCTGATCACAAGCTGATCAATAAATAACTCACTTCTCACGAAATGGTGAACCCTGCATAAGTGCTAGTGTACATGTACATACCACCATTTTGTAAATTGCATCGACAATGTCCAGCATCTCCTGTTTTGTGATGAAGCCGTCTTGATCCAAATCGTACAAGTTGAATGCCCCTGCAGAGAGTAACACAGACGGCATAAACACACCTGACTGAAATTAACATTAGTGTGATTGAGAGCCACATGTGTTCCAGGTATTTACACATGTACACAGGAAGTAAGTCAAGGCATTTTCAATGCCAAGTTTAAATGAGTTGTCTATGGGCAAAAGGGAAATAGTTGTAGTTATTTCCATTCAATTTTTTTAACAGGGCATGAAGACCAGTTAAGTTCCTGAAGTCTAAGTTATTCATTGAATTTTCCTGTTTAACGTAGCATTAACAGGGATTATCATACATGATGCACAAAGAGAAAACAGGTGGTTTAATAATACTGCAGTCACATTACATTTTCGTTTCACCAGGGCAAAGTATTGGACGTGTGCTTCTTGGGATAAAATGGAATGCAGTAAAAAGGTTGGCCTGGTGTTTTTTTGCGAAACAACATGACACGGTGGATATGACCGGCAACTTTTTCTACACCGCACACATATCCCCAACCAGGGTTCCCCTGGGGATACTGATCTGTGTGAGGTGGTCAAACAAATTTGCCAAAATTCTAGTGACTGAAACAAAAGTGAGTGTTTTCAAAAAGGCAAAAAATAAATTCTGTTTAGTCTAATTTACTCCAAATTTATCTAAAATCAATCAATCTTATATTCTGTGTACCTTTTTACCATTCTGAACCATTTGAATCTGATCTATTTCAAAATATGTTATTGTGCTTTTTCTTTCGATCTTTGTCTATTTTGAGTGTGAGGTGGTAAAACTCAATTAAAAAAAGTCTGAGGTGGTCACTCAAATCAGTGAGGTGGTTACTCAAATCAATGAAGTGGTAACTCAAACCAGTGAGGTGGTTACTCAAATCAGTGAGATGGTTACTCAATCAGTGAGGTGGTTACTCAAATCAGTGAGGTGGACCACCTCACAGTTGAATAGGCAGGGGAAACCCTGTCCCCAACTCATAATTTCTGATGATCCACTGCATCAGTGAATTAGGTACTCCTTTCTATTCAATGGTCCTCACAGACACAGACATCACTGAATGAGGTTAACCGCAGATTAAACGTGAGTGGCACAACACGAGTGCTCATGCATGAGATGCTAAGGTAATTCTATGTTCCAATCTTCCCCACTTACAATAGCCCTTAGTTCAACACAGTGCAGCACAAAAATTAACCACCAATTATTTCAAAGTGCAAGCGGCTTCGTGATTCAACTCTGTTAAACGAAATCTACAACCAATTCAAAATGCACGGCAGCAAAGTCAATCATTCCTTGAATGTAAGGGGTACAGTGTACCTCCATAGTTAATACATCAGCCTTTGTTCACTGTTGTTTGCACGCACATGAAGCTTTAAATGAGGAGATTTGGTACTGATTTTCCAGCATGAAAGGAATGACACTTACAGTCTAATTTTTCATCCAGAGTACCTCTTGACGTCACCGATAAGGCACGAATGAACTCCTTGAAAGAGATATAGCCATCCTGAGAAGACAAAAAAAAAGAAAGAAATGATCGTTTGAGCTGATCTTATTTTACATCACACTGTCTTGATTATGATTTCACAATTATTTTCAAGAGTACATTTATATCCAATGAAGCTAACTGGAACATGAATACAGGAAGTGTGAAGAAAAAGCGTCAGTCCAAAAGGATGCCTGAAAACCAAGGACAGTCTGGGGGAGAAATCTACAAATTAAGGCTTCTGCAGGGTAAGGTACACAAGGGGAAAGCGATGTTAGACTATTTACCAAACCTTACCCCAAAAAGAGAAAAGTTGTCACTACTCAAAAACAATTAAAGTACACGTTTTATGAAACATTTCTGTGAGCGATATGAGAAGGGTTGCTGAAGATAAAAAGCTGGCAACTACGTGTTCAAATATCATTTAACACTGAAAAGGTAAGACAACCTAACGCAGAAAGTCTGAATCACTATCTCTCTAACCATTAGCCAAATATCATCGAGAATATCGACTACGAGAAGCAGAGGAACGAGAAAGGCCAAATTACAAACATGCCCAGAAGCCATGTTTGTTTGTAACAATCGGTCTGGCAGCAGTAGGTCTGATTGCTTCAAACAGTGAAAAAAGATTGTACCATCCTTGAGGACTGGCACAGAGAAACATCCGGAGAATTTCTCGTCCTTTTGTCCAATGGCAAGGCAACTGGCTTATTACCGTACGCACAGAGTTAAAACTGCCCACACCTAGTTCCCTTGAGATCTGCATTTACCTAAAGGAAAACATGAGCTCATTGCCATCTTATTTCAGTTAGAATTTTTGTGTCTTCTGCCGACCAGTTTTAAAGTTGTGACAATGAAGGCTGTGGGATCTTAGGCTTGGTCCCAACCGCGGGCAAAAGTATGGAGTCCACAAAAATTTGATGTTGCTAGCTTCAACTTCGGGAGAAAACACAGATACCTTTTGAAACACTGCCAAGAACTACTTGATTAACATCCTTGGGAATAGTTGGCTACCATGCTAAGGAGTCTGGAAAATCTACAAAACCACTGTCCTGACCAACACTGCTTTCTCTGGAGAAAAAATTGCCTCACACAAGTCAAGTCTAGATTGAAACGTATGAACAATGTTAAGATAAGAACAGAAAGATGCGTTGAAGGGTTTTGTACTTAAGATTCTTTGGTATGAATCCCTGCACAGAACCACTTGGCAGTACTCGCTTAGTAAACGTACACTATGCAAAGCAGAAGTTAACCCGACACCAACCACAAGATTTAAACGTACGGTACAATGATTTGGCCGGTAAGCTGTTTTTTGGCTAAGCAAGTATTTTCTTTGCTTCGCAAATTTGGGAGCAAAGAAGCTCTAACAAATTCTCTCCTCCTACCCCCCCTTAAGCCACGTGACACCTGTCTAGATGGCATCTTAATCATAGCAGATTGAGCAGAGGGCAGAAGCTGAACCAGACCACTGCACTTTCTTTTCTTTCCCTATCTCCCTCTCACTGATTGGGAGCAGTTTCAAATTTCATAAACCCCTTTGTCTCAGTAAACGGACACCGCCCGAGAGCTGCCAAACTGGGGGGGGGGAAGACGGTTGAAATCTTCAGCGGCAGAAAGTACAAACCCGAAGACTGCCTGAAATAGAGTATTATCAGTGGGGATTTTTCATATTATCTGTGTTGTGACGATCCAGGGACAGACGCTACACAAAAGGACAGTGACTTCAAACATTTCTGGAAAGTGCCTACGTGCACAAGTGCCTAGATTGCTCAGTGTGATAACTGAAAACTGTTGCCAGTTACTATTGTCTGTTCATGGCTGCTGCTCTATTGTCTTCTGTATAGATGAGCTACTTCTAACATCACTTCACCAACACACACCAGTAATTTGTGCATTCCGAATGAAAGAAAGGTTTCTCATAACAGCCCACACAATAGCAAAGATCAGAGTAAAAATGATTACAACAAAAAGATACAAATGTAAATATTGCAAATGAAATGGCCGATGCCAGTACTGTGTACAATGCAAGGAAGTGGTAGCACCATGGATGTATCTCTTTTTCGAGTATGTGGGGTTCTGAAGAGAACCGGTGGTACTCAACATTTCGGACAGTATGCTCTGTCCGTCATCCGGAGACTGCCCTGCCCTGCAATGTCAGGAAGCTCATGAAAAGTCAAATGTACATGTACCATGTTGAGCAGTTGAGAGAGCAAAAATCTGTACCAGTCTACAGAGCTGGAATTACTGCAGCAAAACAACAGCAACAGGTTTTTAAATTGAAACGGCGGCACAGAGAGAGATTGTGTTGTCAATGCACAAGTGTACCATGTATCTGTTGCCTGCCTCAAGCATAAAACTCCTACGCTGTCCAATTTTGGCCCCCCCCCACTACAACACCTCTCAATCATCACCTGTATCCGTGGGTGCCAATACAAGCTGGACGGTGCCCATTATGAATGGCCGGCGTGCTTCAGAAAATTGAAATAATATTGTCTTTGCAATCGGCGGTCTGCGGCCCATTAAGATTGAGTTTGCCCTTGTCTGGCAAGTGGAGGGAAACCTGAGCAGGGCTTTTTTCAAAATGAACTCGGTCCAATAACGGCAGCCGAGACAAAGCACGTAGTCACGTATGCCGTGCAAACTGCTCCAGCCGGCACGCCGAGCTGCAAAATTTAATTAAAATTTCATCCCCCAAGTTTTTCTTTCCCCTCCTACTACGAGCCACGATGGGACATTTCTCAGAGCTCGTCTTTTCATCTTGAGACACGATCCACAGTGGGTGCTTTTTTATGACACCGACGAGCAAAGAGTTTGGCGTCCACAAAGGCAGCGCCAATTTCATTTCACTATTGGCTGTACATTATAGAAAAGGAGCATGTTAACTACAAAGGCAGCATTTGTTCATGAATAACGAACATCTCCTCACTCATGCGTGAGCTTTAGCACAAGCACATGTATACTCTGATTGACAACTTAACTAAAAATTGCCTTAGAACCAAGTCCAGCTTTTAATAAAGTTAACAGTCCAAATACAGACAGTTCTGCACAGTAAAGAGGATGATGTTACCATGCACAGGGATGAACTTTTCTTTATCAAGTTTGCACTTTAGTCGTGGAGTGGAGGTATCATCATAAATGAACAACAAATTAATCACGCAGTAATTTCCAAAAATCCAACTCTTCCATTTTTTGTGTGACTGTGCGGCTTTGTGCATGCGCACCATTTGTCTCTTGGCTGGTGGCCTGCCAGTTTGCCAAATTTACAATGGCTGCGAATTTGAGCGGATGAAGGAAACCAGTCATGGATCCTTCTCCTTTCATGTGTCACGCGTCTGGCAGAGGAGAGAATCTCACCGGGGCAGGAGACAGACTTGCCGTGGAAACAGAGAGTGGGAACAATTCTCCTATTAACTGATCACGCTTGCAGCGAGCGGATCATAAAAATAGACAAGGCCCTTCAAGGCTCTGATATCAACTTACAACGCTGAATTTCTTCCCGTTCCGTTAGGGATCAAATTCCAGTGTTGAGATAATTGAAGCAGGTGATGGGACATTATTCACACCATGTGAAAGAATTGTCTACTGACAATAAATTAACGATATCAAAAAACCCACAAAATTCAGACAAGTCGTCAGTCTAAAATTTGCTGACTACTTGAATAAGGTGCATATTATATGAATATTTTTAAAGATCAAATTTTAACTGTGTTTGGAAATTAAATCATTCTGTGATGTCAGCAAAATATCACAAGGATTTTTTGAGGTTTTTACACATATATGTATTTCATTTCCATAATATGGAAACTGTCATAATTGGATAATTTGCACCTGTGAAATTACCATTTTTAACCGCCTTTTGTTTCATTTGTCTGGCTTTCCCTGACAGCATTCTTGCCTCTTTCCATCTTTGCTTGGTACACGTACATGTACATTTAGTTTATCAAGCTGAAGTAAGTTTCCACAAATGTTTAGGTACAGATGTGAAAAAGACTTTAGCTCATTCCACCTGTTTTTTTTTTTCATTCGAACAGTAAAGTGCTTACTTATCGGCAGGTGAATGTACTTGGCAGGTGGAAGCACACCTACCCAGTTTCTCATCCATCTAGGTCAGATTACGCATGGTGAGCACTTAGAGAAAGATAAAAATGACCATCTCAATATCGGTAGACCATTCATCATGCCGTGCTGATGCAAACACTGCATCAGACGGCACAGAATGTCAAGATTCCACCCGTTTCATTATGTCTGTCGCTCCATGCAGTCCAGGGACAAGACACACAGAAGGAGGCGATGAGGATTTCAACCCGAGACGCCGTGAATCATTGATTTCGGCTCAGGCAACAGGGGCAAAGTTACAGTTTCCACTGATATTAAAGCAACTGGTACCCAATTAACATCCAGCACCTGATAGCAACTATTAAGCTGGCGCCAATCTCGGGCAGCTGTTTTGGCAGGAATGACTGCTTGGCAGACTGGTGTGCTCAAATTAGCTGGAAACCAGTCAGAAGCCATAAGCCTCACATGAGTATCTGGCTGGTAGCCTGGCTCCGCTTTTAAGACGGTGTTTCTAGGCATATCAAATTTCAATGCTGGGGAGCTTCAAGCAACTGGCTCTTGTAAATCAGGGGGGGGGGGCATGCTCTTCTCTGTCCCAGTTTGGGTTTTTGTACAGGGGAGACGCCTCTCTCTTTGTCCACAACTGGTTTTTATCCAAAGCTTTTAGTACAGATGTTCTCATTCAAATTCTTTTCATCCATCTCCTCCCTCCTCGCACAACAGTAGCGCTGACCATTATCATGAAGAAATTTGTATCAACGAAGTAAGGTCATGTCCAAACCAGGCATCCAGAATTACAGCGCCATCTACTGTCAGCATGCTTCCCCCCCCCCCTCCATATTTCCCATGGAGTGAAGGCCCAGACCCAGCTCTAGGTATTACAGCTTCATGTGCATCCGTAATCAGGGGGTCAAAAGTGAATGACCGTTTTGGTCTGCTGAAAACTCTCCAACGGCAGGCATCCAACTTGGACAGTGAGGAAAATGAGGAGATTCCTACCTTCACAAGACGCTGTACAATGTTTTCGATTTTGAATGGCATGAGTGAGAAAAAAAAGGAGGAAATCAACTCATCCGAGGAAAAGTTGCACGCCTGTAACTGCCTGAACTCTTGCCACTGGCTCTCAGTCATTTCATTTTTAGCGATTATTGCACAACTTGGGCAAACTAAATGGAAGTTGTGGATACACAAACCGAAATTTGGAGAAATTTGGCTTTGAAGGGTTTCAGCCAGTCATTCTCTCACCATGAACACGTTCATGTGTTCCACACCTCATTGATCCACCAACCCCGTTCCCAGATATGTATGTGGCGGTGCACAAAGTGATATTATAACACGTTTGGCTTTATCACTTTCATTGTCGTTCCCTCGACACTGACAAAGTCTGCCAGCTTTATTGGGGCTTAAGGTAGTGCCAACAATTGCAGACTTGACATTTGAGATACCCCAAGCACACCACCGTTCCGCATCAGTTAATTTCTAGTCACAAACTAAAAGCAGTTGGTAAAATGGACGTTCTCACTTAAGCTCTGGGATAAAAATAGTCCAGGCAATCTCACATACACCTTTTTCCCACTACTAGAGCATAAGCTCAACTTTTACACAGGAAAGGTTGCTCCGCTCTCCTTTTCCTCCTCGATCTTTCCAAATTTGCCGGATGGTTTTGGAGGATTTCGAAAGATTGTCGAAGGTACAGTCTAGCCACTAACCTAGGATTTGATGTGACGTGAAAGTTAAAATATAAAAAATGCGCCACTGGTTTCCTGCACAGTGAAGACTAGACGGGTCTTTATTTTCTTAGAAATTGAAAATGCCAGCACAGTTTTAAAAATTACTGCGCTTTTTGGGGGAGGGGGGTTGGATTCTTGTAGTGATGAAAAAAAAAAAACAGGCAGTTGTTTTGGCACAATGTTTCATCCAAGACCTAGATATTCCACAGAATGTAATGCCCACTTTCACAAGGACACCAAACCGATTGAAACGTCAAAATACAGAGCTCAGTCTGGTCTTTCTAATGTCAACCAAAATATTGTACTAAACACCATGGCCTTAAGACTCACTTGGCGGGATCTGGTCAGATGTTGTCATTGCAATTCAAATGGAATTGATCTTGCCCACAAGCTTAGTGCATGACACAGAATCTGGAGAGACGGGCCTCTACACGCAGAACAGGCGAGCGCTTAGAAACTCTTGGCTCCCATGCAATTCAATCTAAACCAACTTAAGCAAGGGAAATTCACAAACAGGTTGACCAAATCTTGCCTAGAGGGTGCTCTGACAGATAATTCAATTAGTGGGCGCACAGCAGCGCATGTGTATATGTCTGTTGTGGACACTGTAGTGTGTTGAACCTGGACCATATGGTTTTTATCAAGACCACTCAGAAATATCAATAGTGCACATATTGATTACAAATAAAAAAATGTCTTCGACATTTGCTGGGCAGTCACAAGAGAATGCGATGGGTGGTACGGCATGCTACGACTGGAAATCCGTTACTGTGACAGATGGGTGCCCCAAGTGGAAGCAATAAACAGCAGAAACCATGACAGGAATTGGTACGACGAGCGCTTGACATGGGTTATGTCTAATGTGGAAAGGGGAGTGATAAATTTGAAAACAATGACACCACCGCGTGACTTTTTGGTGGAACGCGCCAAAAGATGGAGAGGCCGGTCAGTCAGGGTGATTAAAGACATCCCTTTGGGTTATTGGCCCCTCACAGTGCTTGGCTCCACCCCCAAGCAGCAATGGAATGTTCGGTGTCAAAAAGGTGCTACCGGCATGCACCCGTGCTTTTGGCTGTCCAATTTCTTTTTCTTCTTGTGTTGGGGGAGGGGGCATGAAGTTGGGAAATTAAGTTTTCTGAGGAATGCCTGTGCTAATGAGATTTTGTTCGCAGTGATTTATTTTGGTGGTAAGCTCATTTCAAATGGACATCTTATTTTGATGGCTCCTTCTAAATGTTAAGAGCATGTACATGTACGTACAATGTTCACACCACTACATACCTTATACATACACACGGCATTGCTTACACAGAAACCATTCATTATTCTTTACCTTGTCTGCGTCAAAGACATTGAAGACAAAACTGGCAAACTTGGAAGGGTCCCCATTGGGAAAGAACTGTTGATATATTGTCTGGAACTCCTGAAAATGAGGAGCAGGGATGAAACGGGAAATTAAATGCATATCGGTTAAAGGGACCCCAACAGAAATAAACTTATGTAGATGGCTTTCCAACCAGAAGAAATTTTTTTTTTCAGTATTAAATTCTTTTCAAAATTCTGTGATTATTTGTTGTAGAGTTTCTCTAAAATAATTGAAATAACAAAAATCATACTATTGGGCTTTTACAGAAACAACTGCAGAAGGTAAAGGTAATATCGGCAGTCTCTCTAAAAAGTATTTTACCATTCCTTGTTTGGGCAATGTAATTACATTCATATAAAAGATATGCATAAGTGCTCATCTTCTTTCACTTTGAAAAATTTTTTTTAGAAAAAAGTCAGGGTCCCTACATGTACAAGCATAGGACTGTCACTTGTGCCAATATACAAGCACAATAAAAGTCTTGAAATTATACCAATGTCTTTCCGATGTTTGTACTAATGGATTCACAACTTGAAGGAAAAGAAACTGCTCCAACGAACAACAAAAACGTTTGGCAGGGATTTACTTCTTGAAGCTGCCCGTTTAAACGTGCACCTGGAAACAATCGCGTATTTGGCCGAGTCTTCCTGCATTTCGCCCAACTAATGTGTGCTCAATCAAGGGGAAACAAATTACGCAGTGGTCTCGCCACCTCACAAAGGAACACCATACCATATTCAGAACATCCCCCCTGGGCTCAAGTCGCTCGGCCAAGCTTCAGAGTGTGGTTGACCTGTTTTCTTTGGCACTCAACTCAAGTAACCGGGTCTGTGTCTCCCCGGCGATCAATGACATCACTGTCGCAGTAACGCACCCGCTTAACAGATATTACGCCGAGCACGGGCGTTTGACTTCGCAAAATTTGGAGGAGGAGGCCTTTGGGGGTACCGCTGGACCACGGAAGGAGTATTTAAGATGGCGCGCCACGGGGAATCAAATATTGCGTGGGTTAAAAGACTGCTGGCGGCAAACAGTGCCCAGTAATATAACGGGAGAGAGTGACAGCGAAATTTGATGATGAGTATTGATTCATTCTCACAACAGATGCACTCCCTTCATGGTTTTCTCACGGCTAACGCTGACCCTACATGTACACCTGAACACAAATTACACAATTCACATTAAGATTACTTTTACTCATGCTATCTGCAGTTGTTTACTACACGATTATACTTGCAAAGTTCCTTTTTGTGGAAGATGAAGTGAATAGCACTGGGGCCAATTTCATAGAGCTGCTTTTAAGCGAAAAATTTGTTTAAGCGTGAAAAAACCTTGCTTGACAAGTCAGGTTACCAGCCAAACTTCTGGTGATGTATCTTGCTTTGGAATGACATTCACCCGTCTTTTGGTTAGCATGACAATCACATAGAGTTTGAGCTGGTACTCTTTATTTATTAAGCAAGGTTTTTTCGTGCTTAAGCAAATTCTGTGCCTAAGCAGCGTTATAAAAATTGGCCCCTGCAGAGTGACTCATGAGTAATGACGCAAAGTGAGACATTTTCCACTGCACCGGCCGAAGTGCCATTTAGTACTCATCCCATAAAGGAACACTTCTTATTCCTACGGAAGATGAGAGGGCCATCATTCCCGTATTAAGCTAAATGTGCATGTACATGTAACTTGCAATGACATGGTGAGGGGCCAAAAATAAAGAAGTTTCCGCTGAAGTGGCTCAACTACTTATTTCCAAAACAGTCGCGGCCGTCAAGCATGATTCATCCAGACAACGGCACACGTACGTGCAAGCTTCATTGATCAGTGTAGATGAAAATATTCCTCTCCACAATGCCTACTGAAATAAAAAAATACCACTATCAACAACCCAAACAATTGTCTTCTTGACAGCGTGAAATTGGGCCCCGAAGGTAATAGAGGGACAAACAACGGGAAAAAAATGGTAAAGTTGTTATACGCTTCGAGGAAGGGAGTGAGGGGAACCTCTCGACGCTGATTCTCAGACAAGCAAGGCATTTTGGGCAGTCTTAAATGCTTACACTTGTCAAAACTTTACCGGATAGAAAAAAATCCTCTGATCACTACTGGGAGGCTTTTTCTTACCAACGTCGCCATGGCAACAGCAGCCAGACCCCCAGACGATGGCTGGAATATTCTTTTTTTCTTTCTTTAACGTATCCCTGATGGGCAATCGGGAACCGATAAAGATGCCGGGCTTATTAACACACGGCAGGATGGATGGACCGTCAGATGTCGGTAATAAATGGGGCTTGTCAGAGGGGTTTAGCATGGCTTGGGAAAAGGGCCGTGTGATGGAGCGTGATGGGGGGGGAATGGGGCTTGCTGCCAGCCAAGGACCTTATCAGGATGCCTGAAGGCGCTGTCTAAGAGAAGGAAATTGAGGGTTTGGACTCCATAGAATACCTTGGCTAAACCGGCTGTAATCCCAAGAATTTTAAAATTCAATCCTCTGGAGTACTGAGAGATTCCTTCTTCACCACACAAAAAGCTCCATGTACCACATACAGGAGTGGAAATCACTGGGGAATCGAGTTCAGAACTTTTAATATCTTTTGACCAGCAAAACAACTAAAACAACTATTCGGTTGCTCACAATACTGTGTTGGATATTTTTAGGGCAAGGAAATGTCAAAGGGAACTGGCCAATTTTTATAGAGTCCCAAATTAAGAGAACTGAACGTTTAAAAATTTTTTTATCCCAACCAATACTAGTAGGTTTTTTTTTCAGTAATTTTTCTTTTGAATAACAAAATCATTTGAAGACTTGTGCTATCTATGTATCTGAATACTTCAAGAATATTTTTCGACTATTCACCTCTTTTCTCAAGGCGCCACTCGGGCAGTCTTTCATGAAGTCTCGATGCCTACAGAACAATAAACAAACAAATTGATACTGTCAGTGATCAAACACCTCTCAGATACAAAATCCGAGCCATCAGTCTCCATCCCGTCTACTCAAATATCTGGCCAAGAAAGCCATTTCAAATGTGCTACACTGCAAGAAAAATTCATCAATATTGACAACTTGGGAGCACACAGCACCAGTCTACTCTACCAGTCAGTAGGTTTCAGAAAAGTGTGCAGATTCACTAACTATAACTTTTCAAATGTTTTTCCCACATCATTTTTTTCCTTCTGTCCCTTGCTACACATCCCTCAAAAGCCGGATTACTGATGCCAGGAACTGGGTCCAGGTACCCTACCTGTACTGTACATGTACCTGCAACCGACTTTGACAATCACTCAGTAAACAGTTTTAAGACAAAGAAGAATCGGTTTTCAAAAGGTTTTGTAGGGGAAAATTTGGAAATGAGATCCAGGTGGAATGGTGAAACAGATTTTGTGTTCATTTTGACAGGGTGCTGATGAGCACCTTGGGTGCCAGATTTAGCAATCTGACTGCTTTTTCACACACAATTTTCTAATTTTCCAACATTTTAGAGATAATGCACGGGTGGGTAACTTCATGTATTCCAGGTATTCATGTTTCGTTCCGGCAGGGTAACCAGTTCCCCTACTATCCATAAACTGTTTCAGCTTGATTCTCTCTTGTTGTCGGTTCCCCAAAAGTCAAGGTTATAACCGTTTGAATTGCTACCGCCGCCATCGAAAACAAATTCCATGAGTTGATAATGGGTACTGGCTGATTAAACGGTAACCAGCACTTATCCATGGCAATATTAGTTGGCTCGCAATGAAAGATTCTTTTCCCCCATGAATAATCAAGTGCTTAGCGTGCATGTTCCACCTGAATTCACGCGCTGCAGTGTCTGCCTCTCGCGATGCCTGACAGTAGTTTTGCGGCTGCCATGGCGACGGTTACCAGCTGATGCTTTCACAGCGAGTTCAGTATCCATGCATTAGTTACTTTTATAATCCCGTTATCCCCTAGAAGAATCCTTCCAGAAATATTGGATTTGCTTATGGGCAATATTTTTGAAAATGACAGATATTTGAGGTTTTCATGCATTTTCTAAGTTTCCCGGAAAGTGCACACTAGTACACATTTTTTTGAAATCACTCAAAATTTTCAAGCCCTTTGTTTTTCAAACATGGCAAATCACAGATCGATAATCAGGAAACTTTGGAAGGAGAATAAATCCTCACATTTTGAGCTTCAACAAAAGGAGGAACAACAATGGATTGTCAAGCCAAAATGATTATTTCCCACAGACAGGTGCAAAACGCTAAACATGGATATTTTGAAAATTCCCTTCCTGAGATTCTGTTCACAGGGCCTCAAGCTACCCCAAGGCTGATTTGTACTTAGCAGGAAAAGTATGAACACAAATTCAAAACTGTGACATCAAATATAACTGCGGTGTTGCAAGTTTGCAAAAGTTGAATATATTTCAACTCTGGTGAATTTTCCCTGAAAACGTTTTGTGGCATTGAATTCGCTCCACTTTGGCATTTACCTTTTAGTACAAACCGGTCTTTAAATCAAAATGCAGATGTTTCGTATTTGAAGTACTCACCACTGTTGTAGTTCCTTTTTGTCAACTGGATAGGGAAAGGAAGAAAAAGCAGAGTTAATGCTTCTGTTAGGTACCAGCGTTTGTGAAGATCCCGTTATTTTGTCTTTTGTCAGACTGCAGGAAAGCCTGCCCTGAATATGCACAAAATGTAAACAATGACCTTGAAACTCCAACTGGTAAAATGAGGCTTTCTCCCGACTGGACAAAAGGCAATAGAATAGCAAACTACAGAGCTTACATGTATCTTGGCCAACTAATCCAAGAAATCACCCACTATTTGTTTCAGCTAGTGGCTTGAACTATTTAACTACCCCGTACAGTACACGCTTCTACATACAATATATCAACCGGCAGAGCATGACATAACGCATTCAAATGTCCAAACACTCTTTTAAAAGGGAGGAATTATTTAAATGTTCTTATTAATAAAGCATTCCACCCATACATGGCCTGAAAAATTCAGCACTTTTTAGGCCAGGGGTTGGAAATGACGTTAGTTGTTACATGTACTTTCATAAAATTTGTCTAATATCACACAAGTTAAGGGCCACATTCAAACGGATGTGCCGGTACGAGACACATGTATGTGATGAACACCAAAAATTAATTTGCATATTGACCTAGTTGCTTAACAAGGTTTTAAGATCTAGCATGTACGAATTATTTAAACATTCTTGATATAATTATTTTTCTTCTATTCATAAATACCTGGGACAGTTTTTCTATTCCAATTGGTCAAAATGCATTACGTGACCATGCATTGAGAAGTGATAATGCCTGCTGCATGAATCACATGCTGGCACATCCATACGAAACATTTTAATCGAGTCTGATTGGTCAATAGTCCCTGAGTGACACGCACCAAGTTCATTTAAGGAAAAGCTATTGGATAGTTTTGAAGAAGAATACACCCTAAAATGTATAGGGTGTTTGGCGAAATAAAAGTAAAATTGTTGGAAATCCATCGTATGTTGACTTCTTTTGACTCTCTGAATAAAAAGGTATTTATGAATGGGAATACATGTAATGTGCTTGGCAAGTCTTAAACAAGACTGAACGCTGATAATGCCCAAGCCTGTGGTTCGGGCATTAGTCGTGTCCATTCTCCTGAGCCGGTGTTAAACATGTTTAAGACCAGCCAAGCACATATTTATTCCCTTAAGTATTTTTTTGTTCTAGATACCGGTACATATATTGCCAATGAATCATATTCCTCTTTTTGAAAATGCTTCTTAATTAACGGTACCTTACCCGCTGTACAGGTGTCTACATCTACATGTACATTCTGTAGCTTTGGAAAGGACAGCCTACAGGTCAGTTACTCTGCCAACTTTCTTCACCTCTGTTTGTGTTTTTGTTGGTGATTTCAGTATACTTGAGTTTAAACATTTTATCTCCTATTGCACAGTCTGACTAGAAGAATACTGACAAGTACAATCATTTGCAAAAGTTTAAGACCACCTGGAATTTTATTGGTATTTCTGTCACTGGACCTGCATTCCACTGTCTCATTGACTGATTACTTGACATGATTTTACAGTGGTGCATAACATCAGTGTAATGCTACATGTATATACCTATTTGAATGAAATTTTTTGCAAAGGCAGGTCTTGTATGACATTTTGTCTGTAAGGCAGCTTGGGGAAAAAAAAGGAAGTCTAAGCAATCAGAAATAAAGGAGGGAACACTGAATATTAGACTGTTAACATGTCAAATCATGGAAATGTAGTCAGAAATGTTCAACCAAGTTACCAAAGTTACACATTGAAAATAAACATAAGTTGCCATGATTGATTGGTTTAAGTTTGGTTTTCCTTCAGGTTAATGCATTTTCTATGGGTAGTCCTAAACTTTTGCAAATGACTGTACATGTACCGGTATAATGGAAACTTATCAGAAATGTGCTAAAGACAGTAACAAGACATGGCCCAGCAAGCCTGTTGCATTAAGAATTCTATGGCAATTTGACTTAGTCACATCCCAACGGCCGAGTCACGTACTGCCCATTCCTACGGTAATACAATTTGTGTTTCTCCCAGTGTGGTGCCCGGGCCAGTCTCTGTTGGCTTTGCATTGGCAAGGGCCTGTGAGGAGTGCAAGTACTGCTCATTACACCAAACACGATCCCAGCTATTTTCAACGCAGGCCCATTATTTGCGATCAGCCGGCATTAACGGCAATCGGAACATTCTGGGAATAAGATAATGTCTCCTTTGATGTTGTTACATTACAAAGAGCACTTTACCGGTACATTCAGTTTGGTTCAAATTGCATTGTTAAGTTAAACTTACGATTCACCCATTTCCAATACACAAATTATTTATTGGAAATGGGTGGCATTTCTGTAACAATTACCCCCTCCCATAATGCCGATGGCATCATCTTCTAAGGTAAACATGTATTTACAATAACATGTCTTCTTTCCTTCATTCTTTTACTCCCAAATTGGCCTCTGCACGAGCACACACTGTAGGTGCGCATGCAAGCGTGAAACCACTGTAGCTGTTATTCAGTCATACCGGTAAGTAGTGGCACTGACGGTCACCTTCAATGAGTTATTTTCTCTGAAAATGAACGACAAGTGACCAAACAAGACTGCACCAAATCGAAAGTCCATGTTTAGTCCCAGTAACAGCTGCAAACGAGTTAGCTAGCTACCGGTGGACAGAATGGGTCAATAAATAGTTTTCCACAATTACATGTACTTCTTTGTTTCTTGTTAACACAATAACACAATTCACGACTCATTTCTAATGTACGGTAGCGAAGGAAATTGAAAGAAGACTCACACATTCACAATTATTAACTTAAACAAAAATGATGTCAGTATGTGGTGAGACAAGTGTGAAAATGCAAACAAGTTAGGGATGACCCACGTACACGTACTGTACATTGACTAGGACAGAATTGATTTCTGAAACATTGAAATAAAATGTGTACATGTACACATTTATTATGAGCATCCTCGACGTATACTTACATGTATGGTGAACACTACATAGATGAATTCAACACCTGTCATACAAAATTAGACTGCCTTTCCATATGTATATGTACATGTATGTGCGTTTTTTGGTCCATTCGGCATGCGTATACTGGTACATACATGTACATTGTACCAGTATACCGGTACATACATGTACGTATGTCTATTTGATCTGTTTTCGCCCTGAGCATGTACATTAAACCAACACACGTTACAATTTGCGATGCACATGTACATAAAAGGATCACTACTCGTCCTGTGAATGGTTCTGAGGACAGGCACGGGTAAGAAGCAATAACCATAGTGGCAACATATACAAGTACGTGTACTCTACAGGCACACGAATGGTGCAAGTATGGTATCCCTAAGGCTGTGATCATGCCCTGGCTGGGCCTGGCTGGCCTTGCATTGAGGCGACAACTCCTTTGTTAGGAAATTCAAAACCAGGTAGTAAGGACAAAAATTTGTCCCCCGTAACAAATCTGTCCCCATAAAGACTATCGTTCAACACATGTACATGTACCCAACGTTCCAACAATCACGGTGCCAGGACATAACGTGTACATGTGCCCTTATTTCTACTCTGGCTATCCTTTCTCTTAGGACAACTCCACATTTTTTTTTCATCTTCTTAAATCAGTCCAAACTTGCCTTTGCTGCCTCAAGAAATCTTCATGACGCACAACTAAGGACTGATCATGAGGAGCCATTCTGGATCTACGTGTTCACGTATGCTGCTGGGAAGCGCAAAGTTTTGTTTTTCCAATTTTGGCAGCTGAAGTTGGTAGCAGGGTCTTAAAAGTAAGGATTGCTCCCACTCCGATGAACAGGGCGATTACAATCGGTGTACACACCTGAAATTTAGGAATGCAAGCTACAAACATGTACGTAGGTACACATGTGTGATATTATCTCATGGCTGAGACTGTAGTGAGCAGATAAGATTTTGTGAAACAACGCATTTCATTCACAGAAATATAAATAGGTAAACATGACCATTCACAAGTATCTTCTTGAGCACCCAAATCCCAAGTCCATATTTTTTTATCCGACTTCCACCTCTGAGATCTGCAAACTTGTGCTGCTGCTGGTCTAGATGGTATTAGTCCAAAGGTGGTAAAATCTGTGATAAGACTTATCGGAGTTGTAACGAGTCACTGATTTTTGTGACTCGAGTCAAGTCGAGTCATTTTACAGCAGAGACTCAAGTCACCCAAAAATGCGACTCGAGTCAATGACACTCGAGTCATTACAACTCTGAGACTTATTAGTGATCTTATTAGTGTTACATGTATAATTATTACTTTATCCTTCTACTGGCATTTTTCCGGACAATCTAAAGTCTGCCAGAGTCAAACCTAATTATAAAGATGGATAACCTGCAGTGATTGGGAATTACAAATTTATTTCTGGTCTGTCCTGTTTCTCTAAACTGTTCGAATAGATAGTCCGTTGTAGGACCATAAATTTTTTGGATTAAGTGATGGTCAATATGAGTTTCCTAGTAATCGTTCTACTTCAATGGCACTAGTTGATTTAATTAATAAATGGTGTTGAGGGCAATCAGTATACCATGGGTATTTTTCTAGACTTGTCTAAAGCTTTTGATACAATTAATCATAGAATTTTATTAGAAAAGCTAGAGTACAATGGGTCTAGAGGTGTGGTTCGTGACTGGTTTGCCAGTTACTTAATCAATCATTTTCAATGTAGTAAGTATATGGATTCCATTAATTTTCTTGTCTCTCCGAAATGTCTTGCGGTATACCACAAGGTTCATTGTTAGGCCCCCGTCTATATTTATTATCTAAGTAAATGACATTTGCAAATCTTCTGACTCGTTTTCTTTTGTACTCTATGCTAATGACACAAATGGTTTATGTACAGACAAAGATTTACATGTTCTGTTTCAAGAAGCGAATATGCACTTGGCAAAGGTTTCTGACTGTTCAGGGCCAAAAGACTATCGGTAAATCACAAGAAGTGTAATTTTATGATTTTCTGCAATAAGAATAAGAAGTGTATCCATAAATATAATA